TGCCTTGATTGTGAACATGAATAATCCCGGAGCCACTGACATTCTGGACAAGAAAGATATAAAGGTTCTTATTCAGAAGTTCCTTTACACTGGTGATGACCGTAATATAAGCAAGGTTTACGTTGCTGGTCGTCAGGTGAAATAATCCACCTTCAAAATGCCAATTGCTAATTGATCACACTTTTAATTGTCATCATAATTATTGGCATTTTATTCTTTGGGAATGCTCTTTAAATGGAAATACCTGGACCCTAGTAAGTAAGAATTTTTTAAGCAAGAACCCTTGCAGTCAAAAGTCTGTGTACTCCATAAAATAATAGGACTACAGTAACTGTACATATGGATGGATATAGCTTTAGTATAATTCTGAGTGAATCTCAGACAATGAAACAAACCAGATTATAATTTACTTCCCATTGCTCCATAATTAGTTCTGCAAATCACTAAACTATGTACTTCAGTGAGTGACTTAATGTTATCTTTGCTGACGCTTGTATGATACATATTCATTTGATGATGGAGGTGGAGTTCTCACATTGGTCTCTTCTGGGATGACATCAAGTGGAATCTTTTACCATCGTATAACCCTATTTTATTAGCATGTGGAAGATGCTCTCTAGTGTTATGCACATAAGGCATTAAAAATTGACTTGAAGTTGTCAAATTTAAACCACCTGTTCATGCCAATACTCCAGTTCATAAATGTGTGAATCAATTTATAATTTAAAATCATTAATAACACCGCTTTAGTAAAATGACATGCTTAATAAATACTTTTTCACATACATTTATCTAAGAAACTGCATTAGTCAGCACTCTCTTGTTTACTCAAAAATACAATTATTTATTACCTCCCATCAGAAATTTCAGTGTATTACATATTTTATGACATGCAAAAATTATAAAAAAATAATTCTACTGCAGTTAAGTCTAAATGGGACAAATGTAGGAAAACAGGATGGTATTGTAGTTTAATAAGAATGGTTCCCAGTGCAGAGTTCAGTTTTAATAGCAAAATAATAATTTTCAATTTCTGTATAGCTTTTAACTGTTATTCATTTAAATTATTTTTCAAAGGAAGTTTGTGATAATAAATATGAAACTATATATATACACACAAAATTTCACATAAGGATAGCTTATATATAGTCTGTATGATCCACTGATGAACATGTCTACAAAGTATGGTACAGTGTTGTTACATTATGAATATTAGGCCACTACCCTGAGCTTCAGAAATCCCCCCACTGATTTCCCCTTACAGTACATGGATGGCCTTATCGATGTGATGCAATAAGGAAGTCGGAAATAAATTCTATCAAACTAACTCATTAATTAATCAACAAATGGAAAACTTTGTGATTTAAAAACAGCATTGAGTAAGAGAGACAAAAAATCAAATGACAAATTTCAGAATGGGCAACTTCAAGTATTTTTAGCAGGCATATGACAGATGTACATTGTAAGTCCAATGCAGTATCACTCAAGATTTAAAACACTGATACAACAAACACATAACTATCCCTCAAGCTGCAGACTTTATTAAGTTGGTATAAAGTCCTTTGACGGAAGAGGAGTTAGAACCTTATATTTTCAGGTAAAGATATATTAATACCTCTTATGTAAGTGGCCTGTCATTCCAGCTTTAAACAAACTATCTCCATGCTCATACAACTAAATTAGTTTAAATCTGTAAATTTTACATATGAAATAAAGAGTGAGACAGACAGAAGGCAATATTCATAAAAATGACAATGAAACCATAATCTTCCTTGGACCTGTTTCCTTTCCAGAAGAGCAGTGTTTAACTATGGACAATGGCAACTACAGCAATTATCGCATTGACAGTATAATCACTGTTTTCTTTTGTTTCAGTAGTGCCTGACTGTCTTTAACGATTGCATAAGTACTGTTAATAACACACCCACATTAACTCCCCGTCCAATTGATAGAGGTGCAGTGTTTACACCACAATATACAGAAAGGAAGGTAGCAGGGGTTTCCAATCCTGGGTAGTGTAGGTACCAGGGCTTAAAATGTAACAACATATTCACAGAGTTATGATGGAATGGAATCAAGATTCTACAGAAATGGGTGAACCACCATTAACCAATTCTGAATGCATCTAATATCAAATCATTAATCCTAATATAATTAAAAACTCTCATATGAATAGTCCGAAGTAAAGGTCTTCTAAGGGATGTTTCAGTGTTATTAAGCTCTCACGGCAGAAAGTTATCACTGGAAGATTACAGAGTGGTAATAATTTTACAAACCAAACTGCAGAAGTACCTGTGATACATCAGCAGTAGTTTCTTTTGACATGAAGCTGGCACACACTGAAATAGCATATCAAAGTGATCTCCCAAACTTTCATAAAAGGGTTATTTAATTTTTCCTCTGCATCCCAAGTTTCCAGTGTCAAAAAACGTTTATAGTAACGACAAAGCATCAGTTACATTTTTCCTCTGCATCCCAAGTTTCCAGCGTCAAAAAACGTTTATAGTAACGGCAAAGCATCAGTTAATTTATATAATATTCAATGACAATTTTGATATGTAATTATCATTTTTTAATTTATAATTATACTATTTTAAATGAAGAAAGTCAACATAGCAAACACTACAATTACTTTATTATTATGAAATTGGGTCCTTAATTCAGTGTAAAAGCAGTAACTTTTTTCAAGAAAGCTATCCTATTGTGCTCAATACAATTGAATATTATTGTGTTCTACTAGTGATATATTTCATTTACAAACTATCAAATTTATCACAGTTTAGATGTAAACATACAAGTTACCTGTGTGCTTATGGACAATTCGAAAGGAGATGTAGGATTATGTATAAAAATATGAGGAAAACATAAAAATGATAAATCATTACTTTAACTTCCTGTAGGACAGGGTACACTAAAAATGAACAGCCCAATGTTTTATATAACTTCATTACTTAAAAAATTACCTTCACTTTCTAAATCCGCCTGGAACAGGAGAGAAAAAATGTGAAGAAACAAATGCGACTCTGAAGTTTCAAGAAAAGTGCATTGCCTGAAGCAAAGGACAAACTGCGTAATAGACAATTCACTCTAATAAAGAAGTCTCTGAGACTAAAACCATGGCTATTTTTTGTTTTTGTTAATTTTCATTATGGAGAAATATTCACACAACCTCAACAAACAAAACTGATATACATAAATAAAAATTAAAGTACACACACATTATATTTCCTACTCAATGGCTGAATGTGTAAAAGCTAGGTGTTGCAAACTGTATCATAGTTTTACTCGTGTACTCCATAAATCATTTTCTTTCTTATTTAGACTACCTACCACCCTGACGTACAAAGCAAATTTTACAATTACACAACCTGCGACCACTATACACATAAATGGTTATGAAAGATTTAATATGAACTGTAAAAAAAGGGTTTTTGTGTTCTAAATTTGTATTCAGTTAAGCATGAATTTATTAGCATTGTAATTATGGCCAAACTTTGAAACAAGCAAATGTAGTTTAACCTTAATCAGCAAAATGTACCCTGGTAGGGAATGTGAACTGTATCCTTTAAAAGCCTTTTCTGCCTTGTAGTGGCATGTTGACTGTTCTTACATTAAAGAAATTCCAGCATTTATTTGAGCTTTGAATGTCTACCGTAGAAACCTAATCCTGACATCGTAAAGGTTAATGTAATACCTTACGAAGCCTGGACTTGTAAAAAACTTGAAGCATACAGACTTAAAATTATCAGTTACAAAGTATAACAGTTGCTGACTTAATAAAAATAAAGGTAGTGACAAGATGAACGTACTTATAAACTTTTAAATCACACCTGCAACATGTGTAAAGATACACTTGAAAGCAAAATACTTTATCACAGATCTAATAAGTCATGCTACTCAAAGCCCATTATTTAAAAGTACTCTCATGGCTGTACTTTCAATCATTGTTTTAAGTAGTTATGTAAGTAAGTGATGTCACTATGAAGACCATTTCCTTATTCTAACAAGCCCACAACTGAGAACGTGTTACATACTGTGCCTATGCTTGCCTCTTCAAGCTTGCATATTTTGATTTCCGACTATATCACTATAAGGTACTGAGCTCAAATGTCTGCCTTCATATTTACTGGGTACGTAAAAACATGGAGTCGAGTCTAATCAAATAAAACCCATGCCTATTAGAACACGATCCAGAGCTGTAAATCTTGTCAAGATTGTTTCAAGGAACAAAAACCCATATACCTCTCTAAAACAATCATCCAAAAAGTATAATCTGCACTCAGATGATAATATTAATCATTTATCTAACAAACACTAACCAACAAGATTTGAACATCTTTTTCAACAATATGTAACATTCTGTTGTAATTTACAAAGAAATCCTTTAGAATACATTACTATATGGACAGACATTAATTTATCAATAAGGAAATAAACAACGATCCCTGATCACCGAAGTGCTTACGTTAGCTTGTACTGATCAATTTGTTCCTTTGTGTCAAGTGGCCTATGCAATTACATGTACATATAAATAATGTGACTGATTAACTACAGAATAGCCATGTAAGTGCTGGCAGAGCACTCTATACAATTTAAACTTATCATTCAACCCGTCACATTATTTCTGAGTTCTATGATATTAAAATTGTGAAGTTGAATCACAACACAAGAAATTCCGTTACGGCAGTGTGAAGTTGAATCACAACACAAGAAATACCGTTAAGGCAAAAGTCTTGAAGCAACTGCTGTAATAAGCTGTGTGTGACACGTCAATGAAATATAACAAAATCATCTGGAAGATGCCATTATTTGTTTATTTAAGACGTTGACTTCCTTACCAGCTACGTATGTTTCCCTTAGAAGACAGCTTAATGAACCGGATCTACAAGTCCATCCTTACACCTTCATTAGTTGCACCATCTTAGTCACCAACCACTGCAAAAGAAGGCTTACTTTATCGTGTGAGCAGTTAACCACTTTTCTTAAACATTTTTTTCTGAATGAGATACCAGAACAAAAAAAAAAATGTTACTTCAGTTTTCTAATCTCTGAACATAAAACCGTAATGTAGGAGAGCAATTTACGGAATAAAAACAAGACAATTTTCAGCAAAAACAGATTCATTATTATCCTAAGTCACCTCTAGCTGTTTAATAAAAATTCATAAAAAGATGATAATTCATAAAATTCTAATTGCTTATGAGTTAACTCGGGATAATATATTTATAGTAAAATTTTAAACATGAGAAAACTCATGAAAACATATTCAGACTTTCTGAAAATATAATTCGCTACGTAACTTACCCACAATAAAAGAATATTCAACACGCACTGTTAGAAACTCTTTACTTCTTGAAGTGACTTATTGATGTTTCATGAGTTAATCATAAGATGAATACATCCTAGACTAGTGAGAGTACTGGGCAAAACAAGCATGCAGTTCCCTTACACAGATGGAATACCAGTATGTAAGTAAGCACATAGGTTACACAGCGCTGAATGGCAGGAAGATTCTAAATTACATAATTCTGGGTTCATAAGTATGCACTGCATCCTGGTTATAGCAAGGAAAAATATCATTTAATCAATAACAATTTAGGCAAAATTTACACTGGAGTCCACCCTGCCTCTCTACGACCAATTTCATATTGTCTTCCTAGCGACAGCTTTGTCTCCTAAAATGGTCTCCTTCCCTCTCAGGCTTCGAAACCAAAATGTTGTATGAATTATTTCTCATCTCCCACAAGTATGTTGCATGCCCCACCCATTTCATTCTCCTTACTCTGGCCATCCTAATAATATTTGGCGAAGAGCGAGTATACCGAATTCAACACAAATGCTGTGTTACCTCCTGACTAAATTACTGACAGCTGACATTCATACTAACTGCAATCCCTCAGGCCCTGAACTTGAATTTTCTTGCTCTCATGCAAAGTATCTCAAATGCTACAAAGTTACAAAACTGCTCAGCAAAAGACTATATACCAGATCAATTGTTCCAAAATTAAGGGGTGCGGAGAGGCGTCTCATGCCTAACAAAGTGGTGTACCATCAGGTTAAAGAAAGACATAAAAGAACATTAGCAATATTTCCTGCAAAAATACGTTCCTACATTAAACAATGCATGTGAGTTGCTTCAACTTGCTTCGCCCTGACCATTCCTCACGCTCCATGTGTGTAGCAAATTCCTGTTGACAATTTGAATCCTTTAAGACAAAAGAAGAGTGAGAGATATGAGGGTACTTACCTCTTTAATATCTTGGTCTTGAATTAGAATCACCTTGCCAGACTCACCATGGCCAAAAAACCCCAGCACTTTCTTCTTATGTTCTCCTGTAGACAGGAAGACACCTTTCTCTACAATTCGAGGCAGTGCACTTAGCGATCCCCACGTGTAGTCCCAGTCCACCTACATATTGGAGAAATGAATGAAATTAAATGTGAAGGACGGTGGATAATAAGAATTCTAACCATGAAGAATGACCTTATCCAATCCAATCCCTATATGCATGATGATACACTCACATTCTTTAATGTCCCATCCTTGCACGGACACTGCCCTATGTAATGGACAGTAGTTCAGTCAGAATAATTATGACATCTGAACTGTGCTAACACTCATATCTAGCAATAAGATCACTAACATTACCTATTCACTCTAATGACATAAAATCTTTATCTGGATTTTATTCTCATGTATAATCTTATACGGTATGTGAAATATGTTTGAAATGAACTTATAAAATGGTCACAAAGGGAAAGAAGGTTATGTATTGAAGGTTATTAACGCTTTCAGTATCAGGAAATATGTATCCTATAGGGGTATCCAAAATCCTGAGAGCATTACACAGTGATCTGGTTACAGGGCAAGAGTTTATACCTAGAAACAAACATAAAACTGTAAAAAAACAACATTCTCAATAATGGGACCAGATTTACTTATATCCTCAGCAACTCTGACGTCCACTGGATTACATTATGTTCTGCCTTATGTTAATAATCAGTGACAAAGTTTGTTCATACTTTAATTTTTTAGAGAGATAACAAGCTATGAAAGTAAGCAACAGCGATCAAGTGCCAGTCTGAGACATTCCCCCCTCCCCACTTTTACTGAGTGTCCTATATGTGGCAGGGGAGGAAATAATGTTGAGTACCTGCCATCCACCAAAGATGTCACTGTGCACAATGTACATAACACGTTTGTCTGTCAACATGAGAGCATCTCTACTGCCCGGACCGATGGCCATGTGATGGACATATATGTCAGTAGTGGCATAGCGTCCCTTTTCCAATTCCT